GGGCTGGGGGCTGGCGGGCGGGGGTCGCGGCAGGCTGGGGGGCAGCAGTGGACACTTGGGGATAGGGAACCGGTGGGTGGGCCGCCCGCTCCTCCCTGGCTCTCTCCTCCCAGGGCGGGATGGCGGCGTAGCCGGGGTCGCTGGGAGCCGCGTCTGCAGGGGAGGCGGGAGAGGGCGGGAAAGAGGCAGCTGAGTCCCCGTGTCATCAACCGTAGCTGCGACAACTGCTACGGCATCACTGCGAGTGATGAGCACCTACTGTATACCAGGTGCGCCAGACCCCCCCCCAGCCCTGCAACACAGAATCACCACCTCGGGTTGACAGGGGGCCACACTGTGCCGCTCACTGGCTCCCAGAACGCTGCTTCTGTCAAAGCCACCGAGGGGAGCTTGCAAAAATGCAGGTTCCCGGGCCCCGCCCAGAATCAGTAGGCCCTGCAGTGGGGCCGTGGAGTCCGTGTTTTAGAACACGTCCCACGAGCTGATTCAGAGGCAGGCAGAACAGTCCCCACCGGGGTCCTGATCAGTGGTGTGGGCTCTGGAGTCACACAGCCTGGGTTTGCATCTCTGCTGTGCGGCACAGGGCCAGTTACTTAATGTCTCTGAGCCTCTGTTTCCTCATCTCTAAAATGGGAATTATAATACCTGAAGGCACACATATTATTGCAAAAATGATCTAATATATATACACAGCACTTAAAATAGTGCCTGGTGCATCAGAAAACAACTACGCTGTAGCCACAGTGATTGATGTGATGACAATGAGGCAAGTAGATTATATGTAGCAGTCACTGTCACTCAGCGTGGTCTTGATACATTCCAGGCCATGTGCTATAAGGTTTCATATGTATTAGTTTGTCTCATCCTCACATCGAGTCTCTGAGGCAGGTCCCAGTATTATTCTCATTTTAGAGATAAGGAAACTGAGGCTCCGGGAAGTTAAGTGACTGGCCCAGGGTCACACAGGTGGGATGTGAAGGAGCAGGGATTTGAATCCAGGCAGGGTGTGCTCTTAACCACTCTATGTGTGGTCATTTTCTAGAGTTTTGGGATGAGGGCCGGGGGACTTAGAGTTCATCAGGTAGGTGTCAGGGTGCAGGCTGGGCCAAGATCTGGCCGCCCCCCGGCTCTCTCGCGGGGAAGGGGGAAGAGGTGGCCACTTGGGCAGACACGGGGAGAAGGGAGCACTTGCCTGGTCTCTGGTCAGGAAAGCGTCCTGCGGGCCCAGGGCCTGGTCTGCTGCCAGCTGGGGGCCCTGAGTGCAGAACACAGAGGGGAGATAGAGCAGAGAAAGGGGCAGCATTTGGGTGTCCGCCCCACGTCCCCCTCACCTCCTGGGCATGGACACAGGCCCGGGGTAGCAGGTGATGTGCGGAGGCACCGGGGCTACCTGGGCTCACGCCCCAGTGTCTCCTTCCTGGGCCTCAGCTTTCCCCTCTGTGAAACGGGGTGATGGCGCCTGGCCGTTACGAGGCTGATAAACGAATGGAGTGAGAACTGTGTGCGAGGCGATGGGCAAGTTTACGCTTTGAATCCATCGATGTTGCGGGGTCATTACTGGACCAGGTTCTTTACAATTTCATTTCCCAAAGTGTGGATGCAGGGGACAGCCACAGGGATGGGCACGAACTGACACTCAGCAACAGGTGAGAGTCGCCAGGGTTTCCCTTGCCTCTCAATACCGATTCCATCGTGGAGAAAGTCTTGTTTGGGTGCGACTCTGTCCTTACCACCTCCCTAAACTTTGTGAGTTTCCCCTTTTGAACAAAAGCGAACAGACCTCAGGCTCGGAACCTCCTTAAGCCAGAGGACCGAGAATTTCATTGCCTTGCTTAATTGCCATTAGGTTCATCTTGATAATTACCCTCTGCCATGGGTTGAATTCTGTTTCCCCCAAAAGATTTCAATTCCTCATCTCCAACACCTGGGAGTGTGGCCTTAGGTGGAAAGAGGGTCTCTGGCGATGGTCAAGTTCAGGTGAGGTTACTGGGGCAGGCCCTAATCTATATGCCTGGGCTCTTATAAAAAGGAGAAATTTGGACACACAGAAAGACCTGTGTAGAGGTAAGACGATGGGAGACACGGGGAGAATGTCATCTAGGAGCCGAGGAATGCCTGAGGCCGCCAGGAGAGGAATGAAACAGGTTCACCCTCGCAGCCTCGGAAGGAGCCAGCCCTGCCGGCACCTGCGAGTTCCGGCTTCTGGCCTCCAGAATGGGAGATAGGAAATTTCTCTTATTTTAAGCCACCCAGTTTGTGGTCCTTTTATGCTGTCTCCTTATAGCATGGGATACCGGCTTCCCTGTGATGCTATTATTATAGGTTTCTTATAAAATAACAAAACGAACTGCACCATTTGTTCAGATTTCCCCACAACTGCTCACCATTTCTACCTGACTCTCACACCCCCTTCTGGGGACATGTGCCATTTTATGAAATAAAGTTCGACGTCCTTAAATTCCCCTTGAAAGAGTCTGTGGTAGCAAGTCCTCAGCGATGCTCGTGAGGGGAGTGAATTTGAAGAGAGATCAAGGAACTAAGAGGGTGGGAGGCAGGTGTGTGTAGGGGAAATTGGGACGGTGGAGTGACAACCGAGGACGGGAACGGCTGTGGAGTGACTGTCGCTCCTCGCGTTTGGCTGGGCAAACGCCCCACGCGGCTCCCCAGCCCCGAGGTTCCTCATTGTAAGGGTCTTAGAAGAGCTTAGGGTTCGGCGGGGGCTGAGGCTCTGCCCACAAGGATGGGAGGACTTGGGGCACCACTGAGGGACAGCCCGGGAGGCTGGCGGGCGTCGGTACCTGGCTGCGCGGGCTGAGGCGGCGCCGGGCCCTGCATCGAGGCTGGGGCGGGGCGGGAGGCCTGGACCGAGTTGGCCCGTCTCAGACCTGCGGGGAGAGGAAACAGCCGCCTGGGCCTGCTGCACGCACACGCACACGCACAGCGGGGCAGGAGGAAGCTGGGCCTGGGCACCGGCACCAGGCGAGGTCCTCTGGGTCTGCATGCAGCCCCCCAACGCTCTCAGCTCCTTCAGAGCCCCTCCGTCTCAGCGCATTCTCTCTTTCCAGTTCTCAGAACCTCTGGGCAAGTCACAGGTTCTGTGATATCGCTTCCCCCTGTGTGACCTTGCTAAATGACCTCTCCTCGCTGGGTATCAGTCTCCTCGTATGTCAAGTGGGGATACTAGGACCTACTGCATAGCATGTGGTGGAGATGCAACGATACGATGCGTGCAAAGTGCTCAGAACAGTGCCTGGCATGTAGTAAACACGCAACATCTGGCAGATCAGTGCCTGGCATGTAGTAAACACGCAACATCTGGCAGATGTGGATATTATCTCACTATTCTTGAAAGAATCTGGTCTATATCTTCACAAGGACCTCGTTTTACATCCAAGCGTTCTCTTTTATAAGCTGTGTGACTCTGGGCTGGTCACTCGCCCTCTCTGAACTTCAGATGCCCCGTGGGGGCAACAACTCTACCTACTAATAAGAATGAGTGAAGCTTCATTTAACGTTTACCATGTCCCAGGGACTTGACATGTAAGACTTATCTAATCTCTACACCCCATGAGGTGGGCACTGGATTATCTCCGTTTTATAAATGGGGAAACTGAGGCCCAGGGGGGTTAAGGAGTGCATCCAATGCTAAGCCAGGAACCCACCAGAAAGAGAAGGCCAGAGGTCCACCTGGGAACTAATACTCAGCCCATCTAACTCAGGCCCAGCCTCATGACCTTGCTACAAAAGAAATGAAAGTGCTACGTTCTCACACAGAGGGGTTTGAAACTCAGACGTCCCCAGTCCGAGAGCCAAGGGCTGCCACCAGTGGGCACTCCTGCTGAACAAACCCGCCCTGAGTGAGGCCAGAGGCGCTGGGAGCCCAGCGAGATGTGAGCACCTGTGAGTGACATCCCGGCCACGCTGACCCGCCCCACTGTCGCCTCCAGCACAGGCCACTTGCTAAGGAAAAAAAGGTCTTGGTCAGATCTGTGAGAGGGAAGCACCCTTACTTGGCTCAGAGCCAACAGGCATTCCACCCAGAGTTTTTTGGAGGAAGGGCGAAAAAAAAATCACACTTTTTCTTATTTATGGCGTTAGAGCAAGAAAACAGTATAAGCAAAATCTGGGAAGTCTGGAGACAGGATAGTTTCTGAATCCTGTCTTTCCTCTACCATAGGCTAGAACCAGCATCTGGAACTGAACATGGCACACAGTAGGTGCTCAATAAACACCGAATGGATATATGAATAAAAACACTGCCCTTCCCCTTTTTTCCGGTTCTCCTCGCCGAGGAAGCCTGCCTGGATCTGCCCCCCTCGCTCACCTGCCGGGCTCCGGCTGGAGTCGCCGGCCGCCCCGCCGTGGCCGTGGCCCCAGCTCTCTGGGTCCCGGCCGGCTGAGCTCATCCGCGCCTCAGAGGCCCTGCGCACGGGAGGCCCGTAGCTTCCTCGCCCAGGAGCAGAAGCAGAGGCTGGCTCAGGGCCTGGCTTCTGACCTGGGCCCCTCCTGTCTTCAGCGTCACCTGGAGAGGGAGAAAAATGATGGCGAGGGCTTGTTTTTATGGTGTCCCGAGGGCCATTACTTAAGGAGCTCACAAAGGGGCCCATCCACCACTCCCAAGGACTTTTTGAAATGAAAACTCTCCCCTCCCAAGCTCCCTTTGGATGCAGCTTTTGTTTACAGTCTCACGTATTCCTTAAGAAGTTATCGGAGACACAGTTGGGAACTTCGAATTTTGACAACTTCCTTCCAGAAGCACTGTTTGCACTCAACTCTAGAAATGCCATCCAGACCCGAAATGATCGCTTAGTGTTAACTGAAAGTGCTGCAAGGGCTTTATCTGGTCAGTGCCAGCGGCCTCATCTAATTACTGTGTTTTTATTGTGGTTGCCTTTTTTCCTTTGTACTGTTTTGCCTCTCCTTTCTCACCATCATTTTAATAATTAAAAATAATACTCAGATGATAGTGATAATGTCCATGGTAGTGGTAATTTTCTTTTACTAATTTCCTTTCTATTCATCTTTCACTTTTCATTAGTCCAATTTCAGATTTGCTGATGGTTGACAGAAGAAATATCGGGGGGGGGAGGAAGGCATTCTCAGCAAGCCCCGAATGCTCCCAATACTCCCAGGCTCCAGCGTGTATTTTGGTCGTGAGGGTCTCTCTCTGTTCTTAATTTTAATTTCCACCTCTGTTGTGCCTCTCAATGCTCCATCAAAAACGACAACAAGGCCTTTGGAAGCCTGGCATCAGTGAAGAGTGCTCTGTGCTACCTTCTTCGTTAGGGCTCAGGGTGAGCTGTGAAGGGGGCGCAGGATTCCCAAACCCAAACGCAGAGGCTGGGCAGAGACACAAACATCAGGAGAGCCGCCAGGTAGACCAGTTAGCCGGGGGCTGCGCTTGGTCCTGGAAGGAGAGGTCCTGTCGTCTTACCTTGAGTCGGGGCCTGGGGGATGTGCTTGGGCTCCGGGGTGGGTTGCTCGGGGGCGGCGGGCTCGCTGACAGGCTGCTGGGCCTTCCTAATGGGCATAGGCTGTGGGAGGACCTGTTTGGGGAAGCCCTTGAAGAACCAGGCTCCAGAACGTTTCCACACCTGGGGGAGAGGAGAACGGCAGCATGCAGGCCCGCACTGCTGCTCCTGCCTCCCCCGGGGCCAGCTAACTCTGCTCCCGCCCCTGGCGCACGGACACAGTAACCAGCACGCTTTTCTTACCGGCGTGCGGCCTTTCGCGATGTCTCTTTGATTCGCGCAATACCCCTGACCACTCAACGGAGAGGGCCCGAGAAGACCCACTTTCTTTTTTTAAAAAAAATATATCTTTATTGATTTCAGAGAGAGGAAAGGAGAGGGAGAGAGAGAGAGCTAGAAACATCGATGAGGAGAGAGTCATTGATCAAGCCCACAACCGGGGCATGTGCCCTGACCGGGAATCGAACCCCGATCGCCTGGATCCTAGGTCGACGCTCCACCGCTGAGCCACGCCCGGCCGGGCAAGACCCACTTTCTTGATGGAGAAAGTTGGACATCACAAAGGTATGAGCTAGTATTAGGTGTCACAGCCAGAGAGGGCAAGGGCAAAGGCTGGACACTAAGTCTTCCAACTCTTAAATGTGGCGTGCTGCTCCCCAGCACCAGAAAGAGAAAAGTCAGAGCTAGGGGAGGGGAAACGAAATTCACTCACATGCTCAGGGGCTGTTCCACCGGTATCCACAGCCACGCTGGTTCCTTCTATACCAATCCCTTAAGACACATCCCCGCTCAGGTTCTCCAGCCCCCACCTGCCACCCTGTCTCCCTGGTTCTAGAGAAGAGGGGAGAGGACTGGATAAAAAGGAAGGGTGCTCTAATCAGATAGGACACGTCTACTCACCTCCCTCTGCTCGAGGCAGATTTTGCAGAGCCACACAGGATGTGGCCGGTTGTTGGAGGTCTCCACCCCACATTTGGTGCAGACATTCTGGGGACAAAAATAGAGGCCAGGGTACACTCAGATATGCCAGGCTTGGAGCTGCTAGTGATTGGGGGAGGTGGCTGGGAAGAATGGCAATGGAACCCCACTGCAAAGAGCTAGGACTTTCCTTCTCTCGCCTCCTGCTCACGGCCAAGGCCAACTAGAATCAAGTTCCAACTTGAGTCTCGGTATTTCCGATACCGAGAACAGGCGTCATTCCCAAGCACTGGCTAAGGAAAATTTCCAAGACTCCCCGTGGGGTCTGAGCTTTCAGCATCCACACAGGGGAGATCGTTGACAGGATTTTTAAAGAGGAAAAGCCATATATCCAAATTGTCTCCTCATTTATTTCTTCTTCCTTCCCAGGTAAATCTGAGGCAACCTAGGCAACGACTACAGTTTCTTGTAACTTGCTAAACCACGACCAGGATACTTGCAGACTCAACCATAGCTCATGCCTTCCCTGGAGATACCAAGTTCATTCTGGATGGAGCTGAGCTCCGAGGGGACAGAAGAGTGACAGTGACCTCCCTGGGAGAAACCAGGATCAGGGGTACATCAGGAGACAGTTGGGCAGGAAAGCATCCCAGAAGAAATCATACTCTGGCAACTAGCCTTCAGGATCCAAGTGCCATTCCCAAGGCCCAGGGTCCCCCAAGGCTCGAGCCCGGGCCCAGCCCTCTGCACGTGAAGAGCAGGGTGCAGGGAAGAGGGGGCGATGGTACCTTCTTACAGTCCTCACACACCACGCAGGCAGAGCCCAGCATCCCCAGCTGTTCACCGCACAGTATGCAGCGGTTCACCCCGTCCCCGGCCACGTTCTTTCTCATGGTCTCCAGACGGTCCACCAGGCGCCTGGAAGCAGAGACAGGGCACTAAGGACCTTACAGGACCAGGGACCACCTGCACCTCCCGCAGGATCAGGTGGATGGTCTTAACCTTCTCTGAGTCACGGACTCGTAAGTATCTGATGATGACTGTTGGACCCTACCCAAGACACAGGCCCATGGAGTCTGACGCATTTTCAGAGAGTCGCAGAACCCCTCCCCTATCCCCCAAAGCCCACCTCGTCTGCTGGCTTCAGATTAAGACTCTTATCCAGTCCTTTCTACCTCATGTCTCCTCTGCTAGGAAACTGCCTTCTGAGCTCCGGGTCTGTTTATCTACTTGTCTCCATGGCGTCTTCACTTGGATGTCTTCACAGGCCCCTCAGACTCGGGCATCCATCTGACCTCTTTTGCAATTCCTTTCTCAGAAAATATCACCGCCGTTCCACCAGCTGGCTCAAGCCAGGATCTGGGGATGTCCCTTGACCCCCTCCTCCCCTGGTGTTCAATGACCCAACCAACACCTGCTGTGACTGCCCTCCCCCCTAACATTTCTGGAATCCACCCATTTCTCTCCACCTTCACCCCAACCAAGCCACTGTCATCTCCGCCGGAAAAGGCAGGCACCTTCTCATTGTCTGCCTGCTTTCATTTCTGGCCACTACAACCTGCCCTCCTCTCCACAGCCACGGTGACAGTCCTAAACCATGAGTCTGACCATGTCCCTCCCGCTCCACTATAAAAGCTTTAGACGTGGGCTGGCCCCGGGCGAAACCTTAAACTTCTTCTCCCTCTTGGTCTGGCTTTTCAGTGCTGTGGCTCAGGAATTCTCTGAGTGTGACTACCAGACCCTCAGTGTCAGTGTCACCGGGAACTTCTTTAGAAATGCAAACTCTTGGGCCCCAACCCAGACCAACGGAATCAGAGACTCTGAGGGTGGGGCCCAGCAAGCTGTTTTAATGAGCCCTCCAGAGGATTTGGCCATCACAGGCTCCAGAAGGTCCCTGGCAGCCACCTGATGCTGACTGTCCCCACGGGCCCTCCTCGCTCCTGCCAGCCCTTTAGAGTGCTCGGACTCGCAGTTTATAAATAGCAGCCTTTCCTTTGTGTTCTTTTCAACAGAGCCGCTCGGCCCAAGAGCCAAAAGCAGCCCGCAGGCTCCGGAGCCTCGGCTGTGACCCAGATCCCATGGGACAGAGCTGCCTAAGGCAGCACTCTCTTCCCTTTCTCCTCGGCGTCACCCCCTCCCACCTTTTCCCTAGAAATGGTTTTTTAAGATGACCGGCAGCGGTAGGAACCGGGAGCAAGGCCCACCACCCCCGTCACGGACACGGTCTCAGAACACCTAGAACGGCAGTCGCCGAGGTTTACTGAGCGCTGACTACGTGCCAGGCCCAGAGAAGCACAGCCCCCTGCTCTCTGGACGCCTTTCAACGCCACAGAATTATAAACCTAGCCCGAGCCAGTGCGGTGAGCTAACGGAGGCAGGGATGGCAATGGCCCGGTGGTATTTTTTTGTTCACAGCCTTGCTCTCCTCTGCTTTCTCCGTCACCCACTGCCTTAGCCAGAAAAGGGTTAGATTTTGTTCTTACTTTCTCCGTGGGAGTCCCAAAGCACAGAGAGGGTGAGAGCCTCGCCCGGGGGCACTCAGCCAGGGCTAGAATCTAGTTCTCTGTGCCAGCCACTCATCCTTCTTTCCATGAAGCCTCCGCCATCCCCTCCCCTCTAAGCATCCAATGAACTCCACCCCACTGTGCCTCCCGAACTTCCTACAGTGACCATGTGTTACTTTTACATGAGGAGAGAAAGTGCGTTTTTGAAAATAGAGAACATGTAAGCCAAGGGTAAAAAGACGTGGTTTGAATCCTACCTTTGAGCCAGTCAATGACCTTGAAAAGCCTTTGTTCTCTGGGCCCCTCATCCCGACTATAATAGGGGAGGTCAGGTGAGATGACCTTCAAGTCTCCTCCCATGGGCCACGCTCGGGGGTTCTCGGCTCCTGGGGCTGAAACCTCAGGGCTGATTTCTCCTTGGGTTTGGAAACGGAAGGACCCTCGGTGACGGAGCCCAGGCCTGTGTGCCCGGGCAGGCTGGCTTTGTTTGCCTGCTTAATGTCTCCATATTAAGTGCCCAATTAGCTGGACACTCTAAGTGGCTGTCACGCCGCAGTTAAGTCTTTACATGGCTGATTAACTTCACGATTACTGCTCAGGCCTCGCATCCAGGAAACACATCCATCACCCGGCTGCGTGCTGGAGGGGGGCTGCTGGTTACCTGGTAAAGCTGGTGGGTACCTCCCATTTCCCGGATGCTCCCAGAGGCACAGGAAAGGGTATGTCCCCTCCTCTGGGCACCAACAGGCAACCTCTGGAGGTGGTGGGAAGTGGATTCTCAACTTGGCCCGACCTCGCCATCCCAACGGATCTAGATGAGCTACTCAGCCATTGGACAAATATTCGTGGCACCTACCACGTGCCAAGTAGACAGCGGGGACCCAAAAGGGAGCAAAACGGATGAGGTCCCCACCCTCACGGAGCTGGAATTCTAGTGAGGGAATCAGCTGTCATTTAAATAATCGCATAGACCATCCTAATGACACTCGTAGTAGGTTCTCTGAAAGGCAAGGATGAGCAGCTGTGAGAACTCATACGAGAGGGGCCTGAGAAGTCAGGATGGGGCCTCAGAGGACGTGATCATTGAGTTGGGACCCGAGGATAAGGAGGAGCTGACCCAGTAAAGAGGGCGAGGAAGAGCATTGGAGGAAGAGGGAACAGCATGTGCAAAGGACCTGAGGGATGCTCAGCATGGCTGGTGGGCTGGATGGCAGGAGATGAGGCTGCAGAGTTGGGCAGGGGCCACTCTGTGCAGTGTCCTGAGTCTCAGGGTGAGGGGACAGCATTCGAGGGCTTTAAATAGAGAAGATTCAACTTCCCAAGTTTTGGACATAGGAATGGAGCCCTTGGGAGGCTCAAAGAAGGGTTTCAGACACTACAGTGGTTCCAGGTGGGAGGAGGCAGGCAGGTCCCTGGACTTTGTCCACACATGGGCTGGACCAGGTCTCTTGAAACTCCAAGGCTGTCCCAAATGGGTCTAACTCAGAGGTGGCAAAAGAGTACACTATTCGGAGGGTCATGAAAGGCCACTGCACACTCACGGGCTTCAAGGAGGCGCTCTGTGTACTAGTTCCCTACGGCTGCTATAACAAGTTATCACAACTAGGTGGCTTAGATAGATAGATAGATAGATAGATAGATAGATAGATAGATAGATAGACAGATAGATAGACAGATAGATAGAACCTTCACCGTCTTGAAGGTCAGACGCCTGGGCCAAAGTCAAGGCCTTGGCAGGGCTGCATTCCTCCCAGAGGCTCTAAGGAAGAATCCTCTCCTTGCCTTTTCCAGTTTCTAGAAGCTGCCCGCAGTCCTTGCCTAGTGACCCCTTCCTCCACCTTCAAAGCCAAATAAAACATTTTCCGATCTTGCCTCCCTCTTATAAGGAACCATGTGACTACATGGGGCTCACTGGATAATCCAAGATAATCTCCCCATCTCAAGATCCTTAACTTAATCACATCTGCAAAGTCCCTTCTGCCACGTAAGGTCACACATTCACAGGTTGCAGGGATTAGGATGTGGGCATCTTTGGAGGGGGGCCCAGTGTTCTGCCTTCCACATATACTCACTTCCCGGCCCCATCTGCCTCCCAGGCTCTCTTTCCACCTGATTATCGGAATGAAACTTCAGCCCTTCTTTCCAGAGCGACGTCTGGGCAACTCCTCCCTGCCTGGCTGTGGATGTCAGAGGAGCCTGGCTTTGGATGCTGCCAGTCACCCTCTCCAGGTGCCCAATCCCGAGGCGCAGATCCTCTACACACATGCACGTGTGCACACACACATTCACACCCGCACACACACACTTTCAGAACCGAGAGAAAGGAGCGGTTGTGAAGCAAGTATCAGGGTGCTGATTCTGCAGTGAACGTGTTTGGCTCCACCTTTGAACTTTACTACTTCCTAGCTCTGTGACCTCAAGAAAGTTACTTAACCTTGCTGAGCCTTCATTTTTCATCTGTAAATTAGGGAAAACAAGGTCCTTACCTCCCAGGATTGTTGCAAAGATAAAATGAGAGCTTTCATAAAATGCCTGCAACAGTAACTACTCAGTAACATCGCTGCTAATTATTTCTTCTGGAAATCTGTGGCTTTATAACTCCCTGTACTCACATTTTTTTCTATGTGGCCAGGGTGCTATAATCTAGCCATGAAATTTGTCTTTCTAAAGCTTTTAAAGGGGCTGCAGTAACTAGAAGTTGGCAGGACTCACGTGCCTGTCTCTTGATACACATACATGGATGGTGCATGTATCCACATGCGAGTACATATGCCCACAGGCACACCTGTAGAGGCACATGCCCACGTGCACCTGTGATCTCACACACACACACACCCCCCCCC